GGGTATGTTATATTAACTCCCGGCCCAGAGCCCCCCAAAAAGGCAGTTTCCCCTGTTTTGTTTTGTGAGCACTAAATACCTCCTTTTATTCTGGCAAACTTCACCAACTCACATGTCTCCCTCCTGTTTTCCCTTTTTTTCCCTCATTGACTCATTTTTTCTGGTCTCTCTCTTTGATCGGAGGAGCATAAGTAATGGCCCCCGCCTCTGCTACTCTCTCTCTTTTCATCTCCCTCTCTCCAGTTTAAAGCCCCAGTCTAATCTCTCCCTTGTCCGCTGCCCAGCCCTCCTCCCCCCTCTATGACACTCGCTCGCTCCCCACTTTCTCTCCCCATTAAATAATAGCCTGGATCTGACACGTGTGAGAAGGGGAACGTTACATCAGGACGGCTCAAAACACCGCAGGAAGATCCCAGTCACAGTGACAGCCGCAAAACAGAGAGGTATTGATCAGCACTTGGCCAAATATTTATACCGAAAAGAACAGACAAGAGAGCATTTACTGCCCTGACCTGCCTTATCCCGTGATGTCCTTATGAATACTAGCTTTTGTGCGCTACGTTATTAGACGCCTCGGCCGTTTGACTGATGATCCGATCAGGTTTCATTTATTTTCGTTCTTAAGCTTGGCGAGCGGACGCAGCCCCCGTTATCAGACACAAGGGAGCGTCTGTCTGCCCGTTTTTTGTGTTTACGCTCACGTGGCAGTGGGGATCCCGATCAGAAGGAATCCCAGCACAAACTGGGCTTTTCCCAGCACACACTGGGCTGTTCCCCTTTACAGCGGCCGGCCCGTCTCCTCTGGAAGAGTAGCAGTGTGTTTGTAACTGAAAATCGCCTTGGATACACGTGTCTTAGGAGCCAATGAATGCCCTTTGCCAGCCCTTGGGATTCACTGTGGACAGACAGGCCACGCCCCCTGAACAGAAATTTGAGAGTGAACGTTCCAGTGAAACAAAGCTCTCAACACAGGCTGCTTTGTCTGCCATTGTTCCTGCACACTGCTTCAGTAATTACGCATAAGAATGCTCTCTGCAGCCTCCTCGTCAGGGATCTACGCTCTGTTTTTTCTCACTTCCCCACTCTGGTCTGCTTGTGGCGATTGACTCTCCACAGAAGGTCAGAGTCGGGACATTGCAGACGTCGCAAGGAGGACATGCCACAGTGTGGGTGACGTGCCCGCAATTTAGGAGTGAGTGTGTGTGCAGTGTGTCTCTGTCCGTGTGCAGTGTGTTTGTGTGTGTATGAGTTTGTATGTGCAGTGTATGTGTCTGTTTGCATTTGTGTGTGCAGTGTGTGTGCAGTGTGTGTGTGTCTGTCTGAGTTTCTGTGCACAGTGTGTGTCTGTGTGTGCATATCTGTGTATACAGTGTGTGTCTGCATTTGTGTGTGCAGTGTGTGTGCAGTGTGCGTGTGTGAGTGTGGAGGTGCGAGAGTAGGTTTCAGCACATAGCTGACAGCACGGCTCCAGCATGGCCTCAGCTGAGTGTGCGTGTTTGGGGGGGGAGAGCTGGCTCTCCCCAGTGTGGCACTGGAAGGCTTCTCTCCTGCGGTCCCTGCACTGGCATGAATCTGGAGGCCGGCTGGATTTATGCTGAGAAGCTGTAACCACCCAAGCAGGAGTCAGCGAGCAGAGTCACTCGGCTGCCGGCGCAACGAATCTCTGCGCGCCGAGCAGCGTTATGCAAATGCGCAAACGTGCTTTCGCTACCTCACTTCCTCTCCGGCTCTGACCCCCCCAGCCCCCCACCCCTTTATTCGGAATGGCAGAATAGGGAGATAATACATGTCAAACATAAATCTGACTGACAGTGACTGTCACACACACACACACAGATTCCCGGCACTCACACACAAACACACATGGCCGCACACACACCTAGACTAACAGCCATTCCCATTGCTTCTGCATCTTTATACAGTTCTGTATCTAACACAAAGCCCCCACATAGCCTTGTGGAATTCCTCCGGAGCCTACGAAGACTGCAGAGCAATCTGAGGTTAAGAAAACGGACTCGTCTGCAATTTCTCCACGCAAATTACAGGCCCAGAAGCTGCAAAGTGTTCCTGAACAGTTCAAATGCAATCGCTGGGTTACATAACAAGGCACTAATGCGCGGGGAAGGAACCTAGATTGCAGAGTGGCTCTCATTTCAGTTACCAGAACGTTCATATAGGAATTTTTGGCATCTAGAACGTTAAGGATGGACATTAAGATATATGTGGGTTATGCATAAAACGCTTCACAAAACAGAGTCTGAGTTCTTCATTAGAAATAATAAAAAAAACACTAAGTTTGAGAGTGATTAAAATTTTATAAATTTATTTCAACTACTCTCAATTAGTAAAATTCATTCTGAAAAACAACTACAATGTTCTTTGTGAATATTTTATGACCGTGAGACGAATGTTGCGGCGGGAGCGACGTGAGAAAGCTGTTACAAGACCAAGGGCCCTTCTGTGGGACTGAAAGCTGCGGGAAGCACCAAAAAAATCCATAATAATCAGGACAACTTCCTGTGGCGGTGGAAGCACCACAGGAACAAAACAGCGGAGGTCACTTTTTCTAATGGATATATATGAACATTAAGACAAAAGGTCGTTTGATTGTGCGTTCAGGCATGGTCACTGGGGGGCCTCGAGGGTGCCAGGGCACACTCGGACATCCAGCTGGGAGACGGGGGATCGTGCAGCGGGTGCATCTCCCACACCATGCAGTGAGCGGGGTCTAACTGCAAACACTGGCTCCAGTGTTGCTAATTATGGTCCAGTGGCGTAATGTGGCTCAGGTGAACACGGTCGGGCAAGGAAGGACACCAGCTTCGTGGGCCGGAGTCTCGGCGGCGTTCCAGCGAATCCTGCGGGGGCTTGCCGTAAAAGCACGACGCCGGGACGCCCCCCCCCACGGGATACGTGTGTGTTACACCACAGGGCGGCCCCTGGTCCTCTCCCTAGTGCTCCACGGCACCGACAACACGACAGGCTGAGTAGGAGTGTCGCTCAGAAGGCCAGTGACAGACAGAAAAAAGCTCAAATGAGCATCCAGGTACCCCCTCCTCCAGAGACAGAAATTAAAAAAAGAGGATTGCGTTCATCAGGTACCCTACAACGCATTATTTTGTTTCTCTTACAACCCCTTGAAATTCTTCTTTTTCCAACTTTCCTCTGCTGGATGCCATTAACTCAAACAAATCAAACCAATTCCAATTCCTTTGTCTCTCCTCTCTCGATCCGACCGCTCACATCACCTTGTCCCTCTCCTCATCCTGACGGCAGTGACAAAAGAGAGAGGACCAACCCCCCCCCCACCCCCAGAACACTGAATTTGCTCACCTAGATCCTAAGAAATGTTGTTTCCATCAAACAAATCCGGAGATTTTAGTGAAAATTAATCATTTTAAATAGCCTATGATCGTATCAGCATAAAACCAGCGAAGCGACAGAGATCCTGATAGTGAATTAGTTCTGGTGAGAGTCCCCGTCTCTGGTTTTGTCATATAAAACACGCCTGAGAGGGACCCGTGTCGTTTTCAACATCACACACCGTTTAGTTGTATTAGATGTCGTCACTAAAAGGGACAGCATTCTATTGGAGAGGTACAAATACAGTACGGCAGGATTAGACTATAATTTACAGACACATTGGGGGAAAGTATATGAAAGGCTGAGTGTGTATTTCACGGCTTTTGTCAGCGACGGCGTGGAGCTGAGTTGGGGGGCCACGGCGGCTTTGCCCGCATCTCCTCAGCAACCGGTGATGATCACGGAGCGGTATCCTTCAGGTTGGGAAGCGAGGGACCTGCCCCGATCAAACAGGTCGCCTTCATTTCGCGGAGCACGGCGTCACGGGCCACAGAAAACGCCCCCCCCCACCAATCACACTGAACACATCATCACGCCGATCGCTTTGAACATCAGCCGTGTTACCTTACTCAGTAATAACCCCCATGGCTGTCTCATCCATGCAAGTGACTTGCCGCTGCTTTATAGTAAATAATAGCACCAGTTTTTTCTTCGTAACCCTTTCCAGGGCCTGTCCCCCCGATATCGGTTTGCAAAGTGACGCGTCGGCGCGCTTCACCTGCACGCTCAGGAATGGGGGGATCCGGCACGCGCTGGGAGCTGGACCGCTGCTCATATCGATCCTAGCGGAGTTTACTTACGCCCCTGGACACACCACCCTCTCCGGATCCCTCTTCCTCATCTGCTCTCTACCCGCTCTCACTTTTAAACCTTTCGTGCAAAGATTATAACAGCTATCCCGGCAACCCCGCTACAGTCATTTCAATGACAATAAAAAACGGTGTCAGCGGCATGAAAATACAGCGGCGTCATCTGTTAAAAAAAAAAATCCTTGAAGATAAGTAACCCACTTAAAAGCATCCGTGCTCTTTCCGCATTATTATTTGTATCTGCATAATTTGCATGAATGCCCGGAGAGGTAAAGGTCATTTGTGAAGACGGTGCTGATACTGCAAGCACATGCATACATGCCACCGCTTCACAACGGGGGAGCCTCGGGAATCTCTAATGCAAGCGAAAACGTATAAAATGTGAGGTATGCAATAAGGATGGAGACTGTAGGTGACGGATGGATGCATCGGTTCTGGCGATCATGACCCACACCCGCACGCATTTGGTCTTTCTAAGGGAACACTTTCTCCCCCCCAAAAAAATCCCCATGTTGTAGTTTGCGTTAAAACATCAGACATCAGAGATATTATTCATGCACACGCGCATATACAGAATAGGAAAACCGCTACGCGCAACCAAAAATCCCACATGGATCAGCGCTTGGCGTATCCGCAAGCACATTTTCGCTCTTGCTCAGCAGCCAGAATAAAAAGAGGAAAAAAAGGAGCGAGAGAGAGAGAAAAAAAAACTTTAAGACGAGTCCTAACAAAGAATCGTGCCTCCCCACCGCTCTGCGGACGGTAGGAAAAACTGAAAAAATAAAAGCCGACGAGATGTTTTAATGACAAACTTTTCAAATATCTTACCTTGATGAAAACTGAATGCAAAAGTTAGAAGCCAGAGACTGTGCATGGTTCAGTCGAGCGCATTTAAATTCCTCCCCTCGTTAAGGTCCGTTAGATGACTTCTCTGCACAGACACCATCAAATCCCCCCTTTAGAAGTTTATTTCACATTAACGGGTATTTGTAATCCCTTTATCACCGAGTAGCCGTCCTTCTCTCCTCCGTTTTCTCTCTTTCCCCCCCCTCGTTTTGTGCTTTTCGTATTTTTCCCCCCTCTGCCTCCGTCTCTTGCGTGCTCAGCGGCGCTCCGGTTTCTCATTAAAAGAGCCGATCCTCCGCCGGGGACTTTCTCTCTCCGGCCGCCTGTGTCGCTCTCTCTCCTCTCCGGCTCTTTCACCCCTTTTTCTGACTCAAACACGCACGAATATCGTCAGAGGCACTGAACACCCCCCACCCCTCCCCCGCCCACCACAGACCCCCCTCCAAAGCCTTTTATTTTTTTTCCCAGGAGGGGAACAGCGCCCCCGTCGGTGCAAACTGCAATGTGCTAAAATACGCGAGGATCGCATGTGGCCGCCGTCCTTTGTTTCGCTGACATGCGCAGGGACATGTGCTCCTGTCCTCATAGCTAACTGTGGCGCATCTGTAACTGACGCATCTTTATCGGTTATTCCATTGTCAGCATGTCCAATTTCAGGTGTTTGCATGCATGTTTCCAGGCGTCTATCTTTTAAAACGCTTTGGCAATAAAAATGTCTTACAGACAAAAAAAAAAAAGTGAATAATTCAGTTTACCTATATCAGTTTAGTATCTATATTTAAACACAAAATGCTTTCGGTGTTATAGGGGAAAGTGATCAAATAGATACATATATGCATATAGTAGTAAGCTGTCAATACTTAGCTTCATATCAGTAACTTTGAAATAGAATGACGGCTCTGTCACATTCTCCCCAGAGCAAATGCCCGAAAGCGCACAGCGTGTTTTTGCCCTGAGGCCATGATCTGTGACCTGGTCAATAAGGTCACTTTATTAACTTTGTTTAATGATTTTTGAATTGGACACTGTGCTAAGGATCCCTGATATTTGCTTTTGTTGTGTTCGTGTGTGTATATTTATTATTATTTTAATTACCAGACAGTTTTTCCAAAGCCAGTAACAGCCAAGTAATGTTCCTTGTATCGTATTACATTTTCTTCAATGTTTGTACTATGTTGTTTAGAGGTAACGAATATGACTTTTTATGTGCTTACAGTTGTGCGTATGTTGTTTCAATGTTTAATATGGTGTTTGTTCTGCCACATGCATGACAGACATGTTGACGTGTCCTGGTGATGTTGATGTTTAATTTTCTGGATTTTCACTAAAACATTACTCAGGCTAATCTCTCTCTCTCTCTCTCTCTCGCTCGCTCGCTCGCGCGCGCGTGCACACACAGGCAAGGACCAGCAGAGTTCCTATGCTGTTTCGTACCATTATACCTGATGTTCTGTAAACCTCATGTAACAGCAATGACAGACTACGCCAAAACACGTCTCCTTCAGAGCATGGAAGGCAACGCCACCTTCCGAATTGGTTAACTGATGAGTATGCCATAATATATGAAGAAAACGATTCACACAAAAGGACATGCAAATGACACTGAATTAGCGCAATAGAAAATAAAAAGAATATAAACAAACGCTGGTGTTTGGCGCCCTCTCTAGGAAATCTCAATACATTGCACCATACAATAAACCGCTTAACCAATTTTAGAAATCAGAATTTCAACCACTAATATTTTTATTGTCCACTTCAATGGGAAATATTTTTTTAAATAAAAAAGTATGTATTAAGCCCCAAGTAAGTGGACAAAATTTTCAGACACCTATAAATGTTTATATGTTATAAAATGATTATGTGTTATAAATGTTGTTCACGTGCCTTAGTATATACAGCTCTTTTAACTGAAATTTATTAGTACTGCATGTATTTTGATTCAAGCATTTTTATGAATTTAATTTAATAATATGCTACAAAATATTAGGCAAAAATAGGTGTGATAAAGTCATTTGTAATTTGAAAGCAGCAGTGGATGGATTTATTTTCTGGTCCCTGGCACTATTACGTAGTAAATTATTAACATTTCGTTCAAACGTAGAAGCATCTGGGCGTTTATGCCCCTATGCAAAAAAAAAAAAAAAACCGAAACAAAACTCTGGGTCTATTTCTGCTGACATGCAAATGCAGGCTTATGAGACAGGTCTTACCCTTTTGATAACATACATAAATAAATACTTTTTTGGTTCATCTTAAGATCCGGCCAATCTCTCACTTGTCTCTTTTAGTTCATTTCTCTACTTTCCTCTCCGAGATGCACAAAGCCGAGAATATACCGCAGCAACACGTAGTGCGTACGACGGTTTTTTTTTTAAGAACTATTTTCATTCAAGAAGATTTTTTTGACCGAATGCATCTTTATTGGTTGGGGGGAATGACTTTTTAAACTACGACACACCAAATATCAATATATTAGCCAATCACTACTACCTAGATAAGCTCTGGCTGCATTTATACAGTAAAAAAATGTAATGGTAATTATTTTGCAATAATTGTACGTAATATATAATTTCTTGTAGGAAAAACGTGAATACTAATAAAAAAAAATAAAGGGGAAGAGTAAAGAGAGCCAACCAAAAATATATTTACAGCTTTCCGGAGAAGAGATTGTAGCGATGAAGAACAGATGAAAAAGGAAGCCAGACAAATCTCTGAATGTACTGTTTGTGTACTGAAGGCCATTATTTTACTGAAGATGAGATAATAATCATAAACATCAAAATTAGTTAACTCAAATGCATGTTTATTGAAATAAAGTACCATATTGATATTGTAACAAAAGATGAAAACTGTATGAACAAAACAAATGAACGTCTCAGCTAAAGTACCTCTAATGATGTCGTGAAGCAGGATTTCCCCAATGACATCGTAAGCCATTATACAAAACAAGTAGTTCCACATGATATGAATACTCATTCAAAAAGGAAGACTTTTCATTCAAAATAACATTGTCATCCAAAAAATACCACTGTAAGACTACTCGAGAAGCTTCAAGAAGATAATGAATTTAATTCAAATTAATAGAATATGCACACACATGAAAAAAGATCATAATCACTGAAAAAAACAACACTTTTCAACACATTGATAAAACAAGACCTACTGGAGTCTTCCCCTTGCTTCCTGGACACAAAGAAATTACTGGGAGAAAGATTCGACTAGACAGGAAATCCTGCATGGAAGAACCAGTGCTGCTTATACTGTCCTCTAGTGGTGAGCTGCTGTCACTACTGAATGACGCAACCAGAGTCCGCGTTTCCGCCTTTACTGGTCGCTTTGCTTGAGAGGAGCAGGACGTATGCTTGAAAAGCGCAGCCGTATCGTTAACAAGATTAAATCCCTGATCGTTACACATATGTGCAGAAAATACCACAGGTTTAGAATGCCACTCCGTCGCCAAAAATAACGTCGTTAATAAGTAAAAGTAAATTCAAAAACACACCTTTGTTAAGACACTATATCGGGAATGTCAGTGTAATGTGACGGCTTATAGCTAACTCTGTGCGGGAAGAGAGTTCGGGAGACAGGGGGAGAAGGAGTCAGGGTGCAGGGTGAAAGGAGGGACGAGGGAGGACGAAGACTCAGCGCTGAGTTCACCTGAGCCTAAGCAGACTTGGGTATGACAGAGGATTATTACCCTGGTTTTACTGCATGGAGAGTGAGAGTCCAGTCGATCACTAAATTAAGCGCAGCAGCTACATTCAGCAGCAGGAGATGCTGTCAAACAGGAAAACCAACCTTAGGGCGAAGTCCACCAAGTGAAATTAAAACGGCGACAGCGATCGTCCTTCTCATCACCGCGGTTATAAAGGTTACTACTGTGACCATCGGTAATAAAACCCATTCAGTGCGAAATCATAACTTTTAATTATAAAACCTAATTCTTTCCGGACAGACCAACATACCCACGCTGTGACACTGACGGCAACACAAGAACAGAAGAATCAGAGTAAACTGAACCCATATAAATCTTTGCAGCTGTTTCCGTTCCGACATTTTTTTTTTCTCAGATTTTTATTTTCTTTTAACTTTTTTACTCGGCATTTCCACGCATGTAATAAAAACAGGCAGGCCTTAGAATATATACTGTAGTACCAGACACAGTGTTACATACAGAGAGAGAAGAGAAGGGGAAGGACAGTTAAGAGAAAAAGGGTGTATTTACAGCACACCAAACCTTTTTTGTTGAGTAAAAACAATGCTAACTATTTATATATATTTATATATTTATACTGGAATTCCATACCGTGAATGCGCATGTCGTTGTCATAGTACCCTGGTGGAGTGTATCGTTTTCGTGTTTTTCCACGTTACAATTTTGCCATCGAAAAGACCCTCTCACTCCACTACACACAGACATGGATCTGCTTAGGTGTGTGTGCGTGTGTGTGTGTATGCGCGCGTGTATGAGTTGGCTGTTCATGTGAGTTTGTATGACGTAACATGTTTCACCCAGTGAAGTCGGCTCTCTGAATCCCCGTCTCCAGTTCATTCTGGTTTCTTTTTCCTTCTACTTCACTGTGCGCATCTCTGTCATGCCATCCGCCCCTTCTTGTGAAATTGTGAGGAACTGAAGCTTGTGAAGACAAACGGAGACGTCTCCTTCGGCACCCTACCCCCCTCCGCCCCCCCGGCACTAGATGAAGTACTCCTTCCTCTCCTCTGCACTGGAGTGGCCGCCCTCTGCGTTGATGATGGCGGTGTCGGCGTCGTGAGCCTCGTCCGAACCCTTTGCCTCGTGGGTCAGGTATGTCCCTGGTTGCCGAGGAAGCGGGATGAGTGCGATTAAGAGACAGGCCCCCGGCAATCTCCAGCCCCCCCTTGTGGAGGTGGCTTCATTCTGTCCGAATTGAGCTCTTCATCACTCGACCGAGACAACAATTGATTCCCTAAGTGGACTGATTTAATGGGACCCTCTGTCACTGCTCATTGTGCCAGGCCTAAACGGACCAAGTAAACCTGCACCAGGCACAGAGGTCTCCCTGCCTGTCATTTTAACTCAAAACCCAACCCATACCATCCCTTTCTGTCACATGACTAACCATTTCCCATCCCTACCCATGGTGCTCTGCCCCGGCGACATCCCAGCGGCGTTTCTCAATACTAAGAACGCAAAGATCGTACTTGTGGTCTTTGCAAGACTGTCCATGCTGACTCCCAAGAACGAACTTGGGGCACAATGAATCATGGGACTGGTCACGTTTGGCGAGGATGCAATTGATGCATCCTTGATAGTTGGGGGCGGGGCAAGAATGACATGCAGGGATTTTTACACCGTCCTCTGTACTTCTG